TTGTGCCCAAGGACGCTATCAGAACTGCATGATGCCGCACTGTGATGAACGTTCTGCTGTTTTTTTGACATGTGGACAATATGTCCTCTGTCAGGACTGTTTTGATGGGATGGTTCGTGCTAGAAGTCCTGCTGAATGCTGTGCTGGCGTAGCTCTCCTTGGGTATCCTTGTGAACATCCACATCATCCTTACCGTAGCTGTCCTATCTGCCGAGGTGGGATTCGACACTACCGACAGATACGGAAGAAAAAAAAAAAGAAAAAAAAGAAAAAAAAAGAAAAGAAAACAAGAATAAAGAAAAGATATGTTGATCTGTGGGATGTGTTATTTGCTTTGTGGCAATTGGATTATCGGTGGGATGTGTTATTTGCTTTGTTTGATTGATAGGCTTTCTTTCCTGTCAGGTTTGTTATTTGTTTTGTGGCAATTGGATTATCGGTGGGATGTGTTATTTGCTTTGTTTGATTGATAGGATTTCTTTCCCTGTCAGGTTTGGTTTCCTTCTCCTTTTCTTTACCTCTTTGCCTTTTGGCTGGGTGCAAGTAGGTTCTTGTGACACACGGGGATGGGGGCAGCCAGCGCTCAACCTGTCATCCACGTGGCTGGCCTTGTATGTAAGAGGTGATGAACAGGTGGGGCTTTCCTTCCTTCCTTCTTTTCCTTTTCTTGTTTTGTCTTTTTCCGCCTTTGTGCTCTGATTTAGTGTGACAATAGACATTGTGACAATACATAATGGTCTACCCCCTGAGGATAGTAATTATACTACCTCAGGAGGCTCTACTATAAATGTCTTACAGTTAGCATTTCACGGTCGCCACCTTCTTATGCATTATGCGACGCCAGGTGAGAACCTTAATGCCCGTCCTCATATTTCTGCATGCATTTTGCACCAACCCGGGCATTATATGGCACTCATTCGTGCAGCTGGCCAGTGGGAACTGTGGGATGGTGGGACGGTGATTCAGGTTATTGTCAACATAAATAAATTCTTGCGAGGTTTGTTGAATCATACACTATTCTGGATTGTTGAGCGTCTCTCGTGCGACATTTGTCGGGATAGGGACGTGGTGCGTCTTGGTTGTGGAATGCATTATCTGTGTCAGCACCATTATCAATCCATTGCGACTGCCGCCGTATGTGCGGAAGGGTGTCTCACATTTCCTCATTGTGCACATCCCTATCACCCAGATGTACGTTGTCCTTTCTGTTCCCAAGGACGTTATCAGAACTGCATGATGCCGCACTGTGACGAACGTCCTGCTGTCTTCTTGACATGTGGGCAACATGTCCTCTGTCAGGATTGTTTCGATGGGATGGTTCGTGCTAGCCGTCCGGCTGAATGCTGTGCTAGCGCAACCCTCCTTGGGCATCCCTGTGAACATCGCCGTCATCCTCACCGTAGTTGTCCCATCTGCCGAGGGGGTGGCAGATAAAGTTAAGAAGAAACAGATAAAAAAAGAAACCAAGTAAAAATATTAAAAAAAAAAAAAAAAAAAAAACAAGGAAAAAGACAAAAATGAAACCTGAGAAAAAAAAAAAAAAAAATGTTCTGTGGGATGGTAATTGGATTATCTGTGGGATGTGTCACTTGCTTTGTCTGTTAAATAGGCTTTCTTCTTCTGTGAGCTTTGGTTTCCTCCGCCTTTTCTTTACCTCTTTGCCTTTTGGCTGCGTGCAAGTGGGTCTTTGTGACACACGGGGATGCGGGCAGCCAGCGCCCAACCTGTCATCCACGTGGCTGGCCTTGTACGTAAGAGGTTATGAACAGGCGGAGCTTTCCTTGCCTCTTCTTTTCCTTTCTCTTTTCTCTTCCTTTCTTCTTGTTTTCGCTTTTGCACTCTGGTTCAAAGAGTGACAATATATATATACCTCAGGAGGCTTTCCTGTAAACGTCTTACAGTTAGCATTTCACGGCCGCCACCTTCTTATGCATCATGCGACGCAAGGCGATGACCTCAATAACCATCCTCATATTTCTGCCTGCATTTTACACAGACTCGGGCATTATATGGCACTCCTTCGTGCGGCTGCCCAGTGGGAACTGTGGGATGGTGGGACGATGAGTCAAACTATTTTTGACATTAGTGAAGTTTTGGGTGCATTGTCGAATCATACTTTATTTTGGATTATTGACCAACTCTCGTGTGACACCTGTCGGGACAGAGACGCGGTGCGCCTTGGCTGTGGAATGCATCATCTATGCCATAGCCATTACCAATCTATTGCGACTGCCGCCGTCTGTACTGAAGGGTGTCCAACATTTCCTCATTGTACACATCCCTGTCACCCAGATATACGTTGTCCCTTTTGTGCCCAAGGACGCTATCAGAACTGCGTGATGCCGCACTGTGATGAACGTCCTGGTTTTTTTGACATGTGGACAACATGTTCTCTGTCAGGACTGTTTTGATGGGATGGTTCGTGCTAGCCGTCCTGCTGAATGCTGTGCTGGCGCAGCCCTCCTTGGGTATCCTTGTGAACATCCACATCATCCTCACCGTAGCTGTCCTATTTGCCGAGGTGGGGATAGTTAAAGAAAAAAAGAAAAAAAGAAAAAAAGGAAAAAAAAGGAAAAAAGAAAAAAATAAGAAAATAAGAAAATAAGAAAAGAAAACAAACTATGTTGAGCTATGGGATTTGGTATTTGCTTTGTGACAATTGGATTATCTGTGGGATGTGTCATTTGCTTTGTTTGACTGATACGCTTTCTTTCCTTGTCAGGTTTGGTTTCCTCCTCCTTTTCTTTACCTCTTTGCCTTTTGGCTGCGTGCAAGTGGGTCCTTGTGACACACGGGGATGGGGGCAGCCTGCGCTCAACCTGTCATCCACTTGGCTGGCCTTGTACGTAAGAGGTGATGAACATGTGGGGCTTTCCTTCCCTTCTTTTCCTTTCCTTCTTTTGCTTTTTTTCGCCTTCGCATGCTGATTTACAGAGTGACAATATATTTGATTTCCTAATTGTATCACCCAGATATTCGTTGTCCCTTTGTGCTCAAGGACGCTATCAGGACTGCATGATGCCGCACTGTGATGAACGTCCTGCTGTTTTTTGACATGTGGACAGCATGTCCTTTGTCAGGATTGTTTTTGATGGGATGGTCTGTGCTAGCCACCCTGCTGAATGCTGTGCTGATGTAGCTCTCCTTGGGTATCCTTGTGAACATCCACGTCATCCTCAGCGTCCCTGTCCTATCTGCCGGGGTCAGGGCTCTATTCCTGACTGGTCAATAGAATCAAGTGATCAGGAGCAACACTAATTGTAGGACAGACGAACACAACTTATTCAAGGCCGTTGAAGATACTAGTAGTGAAGAACTCGCTGCGAAGACTCAAGCTCGTCATGAAAGGGGTTCACTGGGAATAGCTAGCCCTTGGTTGAACCCCGACCTTGTCTCCGATACGCAGCTGAACGGAATACTCGTGAACGTGTGACTACACCATACAAACGACAATTGAATATTTATGGCAAGATGACAATAGATTCTTAAACAACCTATATTTTCTACATTCAACAATCATTTGGTAGATTATCCAATTCCTAGCAATCTCAGCTATTGGTGGGGTTTTGGATCTCTTGCTGGTATTTGTTTGTAATCCAAATAATTACAGGCATTTTTTTAGCAATGCATTATACGCCTTATGTAGATTTAGCTTTCTACAGTGTAGAACATATTATGAGAGATGTTCAAGGAGGCTGGATACTTCGATATATGCACGCCAATGGAGCAAGTATGTGGGTGACCGTTAGGTTACCTGAAGTTAATTACGAAAGGCTCTAACAAGAAGAAAGAGCCTCTCCTCCGCTTTCCTTCGCCTCTCCTTCTCCCTCTCCCCCTCCCCCTTCTTGTCCATCTTCTCCTTTATGTCTTCCCCCTATTCCTCTCCAGTTCCCCCTTCTTCTCCCCCTGCCCTTCCTCGTCCTTCTCCTTCCCCTTCCACTTCCCCTCCGCCTTTCTCTCCCTCTCCCCCTCCCTCTCCCTCTCCTTCCTCTTTGCCAAAGTCCTTTTCTTCTTCTTCTTCTTCTTCTTCTTCTTCCTCTTCTTTTCCCTCTTCTTCTTCTCCGTCTTCTTCTTCTTCTTCTACTTCCCCTTCTACTTCTTCATCATTCATTTCTTCTTCTTCTCCTTCTTCTTCTCCTTCTTCTTCATTTTTCCCCCACGCCGGCTGAGATCGCCCCCTCCTTTGTCTTCGTTGTCTATATTGGGACGTTGGCAGGTTCGTTCATTCTCTCCTCCCCCTTCGTCTCGACATAGTGTTGATGCTAATCTGCGGAGTTCTTTGTCTTACCGACAGCCTGTTCTGCCACGTCGACATTCGTCATTCATGCGCTGACCCTGCCAGATCAGTCCTAGCTTTCCAATGGTGACCGAATCGGATCTGCGGGCAGATCTACCAAATGCTTGTGGCTTGACAACCACAAACGTCTGCCTATAGGCTTATCAGCGTCAATGTCATACTGCTTCCCATATTGTTACGATTCCTTATCAGCTTGACAATGTTGAAAATCAGTTGTTGTATGACCATAATGGTCCACCTCCTGAAGGTAGTAATTATACTACCTCAGGAGGCGTTACTGTAAATGTCTTACATCTAGCATTCCACGGGCGCCACGTTCTTATGCATCATGCGACACCAGGTGATGATCTTAATGACCATCCTCATATTTCTGCCTGTATTTTGCACAGACCCGGGCATTATATGGCACTCATTCGTGCAGCTGCCCAGTGGGAACTGTGGGATGGTGGGACAATGACTCAGGCTATTTTCAACATAAATGAATTTCTGTGTGCATTACCGACTCTCGTGTGACATCCTTGATCGACTCTCGTGTGACACCTGTCGGGACAGGGACACGGTGTGTCTTGGCTGCAGAATTCATCACCTATGCCATCAACATTATCAATCTATTGCAGCCGCCGCCATCTGTGCCAAAGGGTGTTGCCGTACATTTCCTCATTGTACACATCCTTATCACCCAGATCTTCATTCTCTTTTGTGCTCAAGGACGCTATCAGGACTGCATGATGCCGCACTATGATGAACGTCCTGATGTTTTTTTGACACATGTGGACAGCATGTCCTTTGTCAGGACTGTTTTGATGGGATGGTCCATGCTAGCCGTCCTGCTGAATGCTGTGCTGAAGTAGCTCTCCTTGGATATCCTTGTGAACATCCACATCATCCTCAACATGCTTGTTCTATCTGCCAGGGTGGGGGCTCCTCTTCCTGACTCGTCAATAGAGTCAAGTGATAAGGAGCAACACTAATTGCAGGATAGATAAAGCTTTCGATACTACCAACAGATGTGGAATTGAAGAAAGAAGAAATAAAAAATTGATAAAACAAAAAGAAAAAAAGAAAGAAGAGAACAAATTTTTGAAGAAAAGAAAAAAGAAAACAAGAAAAAAGAAAAAAAGAAAAACATATGTTGAACTTTGTAGTGATAGTGACAATTGGTTTATCTATGGGATGCGTCATTTTCTTTTTCCTGTGTTTTTTCTTTGATTGGATCCCTTTCTCTTTCTCTTGCCTCTGTGAGGTCTGGTTTCCTCCTCCTTTTCTTTACCTCTTTGCCTTTTGGCTGCGTGCAAGTGGGTCCTTGTGACACACAGAGATGGGGGCAGCCAGCGCTCAGCTTGTCATCCACGTGGCTGGCCTTGTACGTAAGAGGTGATGAACAGGTGGGGCTTTCCTTCCTTCTTTTCCTTTCCTTGTTTTCCTTTTTTTCGCCTTCGCGCTCTGATTCACAGTTTGACAATATATCCCATGTGTCACAAGGACCCACTTGCACGCAGCCAAAAGGCAACGAGGTAAAGAAAAGGAGGAAACCAGACCTAACAGAGGCAAGAGAAAGAGAAAGGTCAAAGAAAAGACAAAGGAAGAAAGCAAATGACACATCTTAGAGATAAACCAATTGCCATTGTCACTAAGTTCAACATGTCCTCATCAGTCTTAGTAACCCCTTCCATGCCGTTTGTGACCCCGGCTGCTCCTTTTCGGTTCGCAGCCTCTTCCTCATAAGCCTTGGTTGCTTCTACGATTGATTCCGCGGGAGCAACTCCACCCGCAACTGCTGTGTCGCCCTTGGTCTCGGTGTGTTCCTCCATGGCATCCGGTGCCACCGCAGCTGTTGTGTCGCCCTTGGTCTCGGTGTGTTCCTCCATGGCATCCATGACCACCGCAGTTGCTTTGTCGCCCTTGGTCTCGGTGCGTTTCTCCATGGCATCCGTGGCCATGCCTGCATTACCACCTGCAGAATCCCCTCTTCGGGTCTCATCTACGACTGTCCCCCCTGTCTCTACTTCAGCCACTTCACCACCCCTGACTTCATCTCCCCCGTCTTCACCACCTATATTTCCCCTGGTTTTATCGTCGTTTGTTACCCACCTTCCGACAACTCTACCACCCTTGTCTTCACCACTCCTACCTCCCCTGGTTTGTCTCCATCCGTTACCCCTCTTCCTAATCCACAAACCACTTCGTCCAAACAAACTCTGTCATCATGTTCTGCCCCTTCAGAAAGCCTGCTTCGCCGTCCTAGACGCCGACTTCGACCTACTTCCCAACCTCAGCTTACTCCCCTTTCCTCCATCTCTGTTCTTGGACGAAGAAGAACCCGTTCATTCTCCCCACCACGGCCCTCCCCAACATCCCGTCCTCGTCTTTTGCCGCCCCAAGCATGCTTACCACGCCTGCAACGCTCTCTTCGACTGTAGACCTTTCTGCAACGCGGCAAACACAAAACAGGAGGGATGATGGCGACGGGTTATCCGAGGATGAACTTGGCAAGGGGACTGTAGGAGATTCTGTAGAAAATCCGCCTGACTGGCCTCCACCGAATCTGTGTGGCCTTGCTGCTACTAACATCTGCCTGCAAGCCTATCGTCGGGAACCATATACTCATTATGATTTCTTGGCTATTGCTTCCGATCTTGATGCTCAGGAACGTGAGTTATATGGCGGTAACCCGACTCTGCATCCCCGACAGGATAGTAATTACATTCGACATCGGGGATTCAATGTCTTTGTTTGGGAGACTGCTTTGATAAGGCACCGGTTTGATATGCAGCGTGCCCCTCCTGGTGGCGACCCGGACCACTGTTCGCACGTTTGTGCCTATATTCTACATACTCCTAGCCAGTACATCCCTTTTTTTCGTGCCTCTGGTTCTTGGGAATTATGGAATGGCGGTGCTATGGTGCAAGCTATTACTGCCATTTGTGATCTCGTGCGCAATTATCCTAACTTGCAACTGTTCCAGGTCATTGACCCTATGGGTACCTCGTGTACTTCCATGCCCGCCTCTATGCCTATCTCTGTGCCTGCCTCCGTACCTGTCTCTGTGCCTGTTTCTGTGTCTGTCTCCTTCCAGATTACTGACTTTGTGGGTACTACGTGTACTTTTGTCCCCGCCTCTGCACCTCTCTATTCCTGCCTCCACATATGTCTCCATGCCCGTTTCTGTGTCTATCTCCATGCCTACCTCCATGTCTGTCACCGTGCCTGCTTTAGTCTTCATTCCCCCGCATGATGCACTAACACCTTGTGACCTCGTTCTTTGTGAGATCACTGACACAGTTACACTTGGTTGTGGAAAGCATCGACTTTGTCGACATCACTACAACCGTATAATTTTTCGGGCCCGCTGTCGGCAGGGATGCCACCTGTATCCGGATTGTGAACATCCTCTACATCCAGATGCAGTATGTCCCATCTGTGCCTGCAGGCGCTATAGTGAATGTGCACTTAACTGTGATGGTGAATGCCCCACAATCATCATGGCCTGCAACCGGCATGCCCTCTGCCGTGCATGCTTCAGAGGTATGGTTAATGCTAGCCGCCCTGGCTCTTGCTGTGACGAAGTTGCTTACCTGAATGGTTTTCGTCCTGTAGATCAGCGGGAGGGCTGCTACCATCACCCTCATCCTTATGACAGTTGTCCTATCTGTCGTGAGGGTCTTTCTTAGACGTACCTTGCACCCTAACAAAATGTGCAGGTGCGCTGAAAAGAGTGTACAAGAATGTGCAAAGGTGGGGAACCCTTCACTAAAACTGCAAAACTGTGAAGAATGCCGTAAAAGGAGAACATAAGTTTGTGTCATCTTACTTTGTTTGTACCCTGCACCCTAACAACCTGAAAAAAAAAGTCTGAAGGGTGAAAATGAAGATGAGAAATGAAGGAAGTGCAGGTGCGCTGAAAAGCGAACGTGGTGGACTCTTCACAAAAAGTGCAAAACTGTGAAATAAAGAAGAATGTAGTGAAAGAAAAATGATGTTTGGGTCACTTCTTATGTTTGTTCTCCCTCTGCTTATCGGTTTTCCTTTTCTGCTCCTTTCTTCCTTGTGTTTAACACCTCTTCCTTCACTCTGCCTCCTTCCCATAGCGTGCAAGTGGGCTGTTATGGGATACGGGGATGGGGGCACTCGCGCTCAACTTCATCAACGTGGTGAGCCTTGTACGTTAGAGGCATAGTGGAGGAGGCGTTACGAAGATTGAGAAACTGAATGACTTCAATGTGTCTTTGTTTTTTATTTTTATCCTTTGATTCAGTGTAATTTTTTTTTGTAAAACACTGAAAGAAATAATAATACTGTGAAACAAAGAATAAGAGGACACTGTTTTGTGTCATTCTAGTTTGTCTGTCTCTTTGCCTGTCTGTCCTTTCATTTTTCTTTTCTTTGCTCATATTATTTCTTCTTCTACTTCGCGTGCTTACGCTCTTAGTCAATAGTTTTGTGACAATATCGAAGCATGCTGCGGAACCAGCTGGAGAGGCGGGTCACATGTGCAGGGTACAACGCTTGCGAAAGGATGAACTTCCTATATTCGTAAACGTCAACTCAGGTACCCTGCGCATGTGACCCGCCTCTCTAGCTAGTTCCGCAACATGCTTCGATGGTCTATTCATCACCCGCTTTCTCGGGTATCTACACACTATCCTTGGTTTTATCACCGTTTGTTACCCACCTTTCGACTACTCTACCACCCCTGTCTTCACCACTCCTACCTCCCCTGGTTTTGTGTCCATCCGTTACCCCTCTTCCTAATCCACAAACCATTTCGTCCACACAAACTCTGTCATTATGTTCTGCCCCTGCAGAAAGCCTACTTCGCCGTCCTAGACGCCGACTTCGACCTACTTCCCAACCTCAGCTTACTCCCCTTTCCTCCATCTCTGTTCTTGGACGAAGAAGAACCCGTTC